CCTGCCAGCTTTCCATTTTATACAAGATCACTGTGAATCCCATTACTGAATCCCTTGGTAATCTTGTGGCTTACCAAGCTAAGCCACAAGACAGGCTGAAGAAGAGAGAGACTTAGCTGGGAGAAAAATCAGAGAAACACTGGATACCGAGCTTAGGCCTAAAGATTGAGTCCAGGCTCTCTTCCAAAGAGATAAGCCCAATGACTGGCATGCTTAGGAAGAGCAACCAAAACAACAACAGCAGGTGGGTGAGAGGAGGGTGTGTTGAGACAAATGAGCAGGGGAGGGAGTGACAGGGGTGACCACTTCCTTCACACAAACCTTGCAAGAAGGCAGCTGCAGTGCATAGGGTCTCCTTCAAGTCTTCAGTGCTCTGTACAAGGGAAATGGAGGCCTCCTCAGCAGGTGCTCTCCATGCCTTGAGAAGTGTGAGGAGCTCATTTTTCTCTCCACTGCAGGAAGCTCTCTCTGGATCCTGTGAATATGCAGAGGAGTGCAATGCTGAAGAGAAATAGGAAAAACAGACTCCAGGGCACTGGGAAACAGAACACCTACTAAACCCTTCCCAGTGATCTCTGGGGGGGGAGCAAGGTTCTTCCATCCCCTTACTTTAACTACAATCCACCCTCTGTAATTCCTGCCTGATCCTGGGCAGCACGTCTCCACATCAGCATGAGGTGTAGCCAGAAGGACTCCCAGCAAAGCAGGTCTGAGTGCTGTCTGAAGGCATCTGCCCCTCCTTATTAGCAAGAAGCATTCTTTCCCTCGCTACTCAGTTTGCTCTATAGAGACTGCAAGTCTACCAGCAGCCCTCATCATCTGCCTGGTGCCCCAAAGTCCAGGATCTCTGGGATCCATTAAAGCATTCGGAACTGTTTGCAGTAAACTGGGATGCTAGGGAGAGGATCTGTCACAATGACTGGGAAAAACTGTTTCAGATCTGCGTATGGAAACATATGCAGAGTAGGCTTCCTGACAAACACAGTATTTGTCAGCTCTGCATCCTTCAGCAAACTGACAGGTATTTATTTTAGACTGCACAAATATAGGTACAGCACACTGATGACTTAGAAACCCACAGTGACAGCAAGAAAGTGAAATACAAGCCCAGGCTAAATGGGGCTCCTGGCAGCAGCAAACAAGTCAGACGCTTCCCTTGGAGGCAGAGCACACAAACTGGCTAATGCCCACCCACAAGTGCCTTGGCTGCAAATGACATAACTCGCCCAAAAAAGCTTCAAGTGCCAGCTGCAGAGCAAAGCAGACTACAAGAGTTGCAGGAGGCAAGGTGTAACCTGTGTACGAAATCCCCAAGACTAGGAGAAGATGACTAATTTACACTTCAGAGCTGCAGGAGTAGCACAACAGGCAAACGCTCTGGCACACAGCAGTGCAGGAGCTGCTCAGCATGCGTCCATGCTCAGATACCTCAGCACTGCTCAGGAGTCGGAAGAGGTCAGTGATACTCTGCAGGCAGCTATCTGCCAGCCACCATGCTGCCTGTAAGGCCCCCAGTCGGTGCAAAGGTGCCTGTAGTTCCTCAACAGTTACTTCCTGCAGCACCTTCTGCCACAGCTCTTCTGTGCTAAGGTCCTGCCCAGAGGTTCCAAAAGCCTCCAGAACTGGAAAAAAAGATAAGCCAGAAATCAAAACTAAACCAAAATATCTCACCAATATCTCACCAAAAAGCAGCCATGAGACAATAGCTCAGTAGTCTGTAATAGACACCTTCCCAGCAGGCAGAGAAACACTGATACAAGTGTGGTCTCCGTGGCAGTAAGGGATGGAATGGACTTAACAAGGCTTGCCCAGGCTACAGAAGCAGCAAAGGAAGCAAACTCTGAGAGAAGAGCTAATGGCTTTACACAAAAGAGACATAGTTCAGAGCTATGACTCCAGCTTTACTGAGCTCTCCTGAGACCATTTGTCCAAGAGCAAACATGTGCTAACACTGCAGATTTCTCTCCAACTTGCAGCATCTTTAGTAAGTTTTCTTTGACCCCACCATACCATAATAAAAACACTAGTTTGCTAATGTCACTAAAACTTTACTAGAGAAATGGCACCTTATGTAGTGAGAACTCTCAGTTCCCTTAAAATTTTCTGTTTTGCTGCAGGCAAGACAGCCACAAAGCTACATATCATCCACAGCCACATGCAGCGCTACCTCCTCCATTCCTGGCAGAGCCAGTCTTTTTTGTTCAAAGATCCTTCTCTTCTGGCCAGCTATGGGACATCACTAAAGCACCGAGATAGTTATCCTTACCCCTGAGGAGCCCTTGGCGTATTCCTTCTGCTTCTCCTTTGATGGCACAGTCAGACGTTCCCATGACAAAGAGCAGCGAGTTGTAGAGGACAGTAAGCTCCAGAGGCATCGTGGGGAGGGCAGGTGGCAAGCCTGTAATCAAACCCAACAAGACACTGATCTTCCTTTTCACGGCTTTAAAAAACCCTACAACCATCCATGCTTTGTGACAACTGAAGTTTCTGTCATTTAGTTTGTTGTTATGGTGTGAATCTACAACTTGAGGACTGCACAAACTAGAGTGACAGCAGATGCTCCCCACCTCTCCAGGTGCCAGCAATGATTCAGTCATCTGCTCCTCTGGTATCCAGATACTGCAGGATTCCAGGCCTTATCTTACGGCACTTCCAAAAGATCACCAAAAACCTGCCCCCTTCCAGTACTGATCTATTATCTTGAACAGATCTCCTGCACTGTCTCTCCCCAGGTGCCACCACAGGGCAACTTACTTGCTCTGCTCTTTAAATCCTGCTATGTGCATTGCTCTCTCATCAGGTTCTCTGAAGCCTACTTGCAGCAAGGAATCGGAGAATCATCTGAGTTGGAAGGGACCATTAAAGATCACCTAGTCCAGTTCTGCAGTGATCAGGAACAACTGATATAGGTGAGTTTGTTTAGCAATAGGGACCAGTATGTTAGTATAAGGACCAATATATCAGAGCAAAGGAATCAGTGAGTGCTAATTCTAAAACTTTCCATTTCAACTTTGCCTGGTGTGTGAATAGCCTTATTTTCTCTTAGTTTTGCTTCACAGGAAGCACTAGAGTCATAACAGAACACTTAATTTTGCATTTTACCAGGTGCAAGGATGTTTTCCTCAGATTTCATTTATATTGTTTTGGAAGTTGCTCGTTATAGTCTAACAAGCAATGGAAATTTGCCAAGTTGTGGAAAAACAGCTAAAGGTCAGCCAAAAGTCTTAGTGGTTAAGCTGATGGTGGAAAAACGAAGATAAACTGAGCATACAATCCTAAATACAACTGCACATGCCCAGAGGGACATTAGCATATATTAATAAGTTTTGGGAAAAAATGAATATGTATACAAATGTACTGCATATGTATGTCTTATTTGTTTAAATGTAGAACCTGAACTCTGAGAGAGAGAAGACTTGTTTGTCAAGTCACCCAGTGTGTATGGTGAGGAATAAAGAAATGTTACTTTCTAACACCACATTGGAGTTAGAGTTTTTTTCTCAGATTTTGGACGACATGCCCACAGCTCCATCAGGTGCTCGGAGCCCCTTCAGCCTGACTATGAACGTTTCCAGGGATGGGGCATTCACCACCTCTCTGGGCAACCCATTCCAGTGCTTCACTACTCTGATTGTAAAAAAACTTTTCTGTTATACCCAGTCTAAATCTCCTTTCTTTTAAATTCCAAAGCATTTCCCTTGTCCTACTGAAGTCTGTCTCCTTCTCTCTCACAACCCCCTTGTTGGATACTGACAGGCTGCTCTCAGGTCTCCCCAGAGCCTTCTCTCCCCCATGCTGAGCCCCAGCTCTTCCTCAGCTCCTCAGCACGGCGCGATGACAAGCTGCCCCTCTCTGCAGCCACTCCTCTCCAAGGAGAGGCTGCCTCTTATTTTCCAGACATACCTAAACTCAGTTGCGCTCCCTAACGAGGTCAGACAACGGCAGGGGCTGAGCCTTAATCCCTTTGATTAAGGACCAAGCTCAGTTTCGAGGCAGCACAGAACGCATCACCCTCCTCCCTTCAGCTTACCCAAGCAGCGGGATTCCCAGGGAAGCAGCCTGGGAACGCCGGTGCCCTGCACACCCCGGCCCTGGGTCTGCAGCGGGCGGGAGACCGCAGCAGGGCCGCCACTCACCCCGCATCCGCAGCAGCAGCTCCCCGAAGGCGCCTCGCAGCTGCCGCGCCGCCGCCGCTCCTCCGTGCGCCGAGCCCCGCGCCGCCTGCAACGGACACGCTGACCTGCCGGCCTCGCACCGGGGCCCAGCCTCCCGGGAACAACCGGTACCGGGGCCGCGGGGAGGGACAGGGAGGGGGGGTACCTCACCCGCCATCGGCAGGCCAGGGTCTCGCACTCGGCCGCCCATGCCTGCAGGCAGCCCGGCTCCGGGGCCGCCCCGCTCCGCTGCCTCTTCATGGCCGCCGCCGCCCGCGCGCCGCAATTCTCCCGCCTTCCCGCTCTCCTCTCATTGGCCGCCGCCCTCCTTGCCCTCGCCGCCATTGGTCGGGAGAGAGCGGTCGCCACGGCAACAGCTGAGCACGCACAATGGAGGGGGCGACGGCGGCCGAGGAGGCCCAAACCGCGACGCCACGCGGCCGGCAGAGACCTCTGCGGTCTGGGCTTCCCCGTCGAATCACAGAGACTTGCGAGCTGGAAGGGGCCTTTAAAGGTCACCTGGTCCAAGTCTCCTGCAAAGAACACCGTCATCTCATTGTGGCCTTCCAATGCTTGAAGGGAGCATACAAACAGGAGGGGGAAACAGCTGTTTACGAGGGTCGATAGTGATAGGACAAGGGGGAATGGTTTTAAACTGAGACAGGGCAGGTTTAGGTGAGATAGTAGGAGGAAGTTTTTCCACACTGAGAGTGGTGACACAGTGGAACAGGTTGCCCAAGGAGGCTGTGGATGCCCCATCCCTGGAGGCATTCCAGGCCAGGCTGGATGTGGCTCTGGGCAGCCTGGTCTGCTGGTTGGCAACCCTGCACATAGCAGGGGGTTGAAACTCGATGATCGCTGTGGTCCTTTTCAACCCAGGCCATTCTATGATTCTGTGGTCTGCAGCTCAGTCAGAGCTCAGAACCTGGCCCAGCCAGAACGTCTCTGTGGAGCTCTGCTTTGCAAGTTTCCACCCCAAAATCAGAGCCCAGTGCAGCTGAATTGTGCCACCAAGAGACCAGGTCATGTGCAGGAATGACGGCCTGCTTTAACCCTGCCTTTCTCCCAAGGACATCCAACCCAAATTGCTCAGGGAAGAATATGGGGCCTGGTGAGGTGGTGGGCAGGAGGGAGGGAAGGAGAGGGCAGGATGCTGCTGTTCCCATCTGCATGCTTCAGCTCCACAAGAGAAGCAGCCAGCTGTAGTGACAGTCTGAATGTGAGAGCGCACAGCAGAGCCTTCTCCCCCAGCATGCCAGGTTTCCTCTGCTTGGACCAACATGCACCTTCCACCACATGCTCTTTGGAGTTTTAAATGAGGAAGCACAGCCATGTTTGTTCCACCACCAGCAGCATGTCGTGATTCTGAAGTCATCAAGCTTTGAACAAATATGAACTCTTATCCCCAAAACACTCAGAAGAACAGCAGCCAAATGATTAGCTTAAAGGCCATTAGGGAAGGCCAGTAAAGACTAAACACATGAATGAAAGAAAATAAAAGCATCTCCAGCCCTTGGAAAACTTATCTTGACTCTAAATTCTTTGGTGTAGTAGCCAGTCTCCCTTGGCAGAGCAGTCAGTATAAGGCCAATCCTCTGTCCTTGGCATCACTGCAGTGACAATTACGTACTTGCAGTTTCATTACTGCAAGTAATAAATTCAGGTGAAGTGAGTTGAAGCTACATCCTTGTACCTCTATAAGAGGAATCAGGGAATGAGGCTGCAGTATTTCTGGAGAGTAGACTGAGACATGAGTAGGCATAATGATTTGTCAGAAGCTCTCAAGGGAGCTTCAGCTTTTGACCCAGGCTCAAACCTACTAAAATATGTGCCTAAAACAAAGTCCAAATTTATACTCTGCAATGGGGACTGCCACTGTCCAGTCATTTTCTGGTGAGATGTGTGAGTTTTTACAGAGCTGCAGCTCTGTTCTCTCTGCTCTGCCCCAGCCTCCCAGGCCATGAGCCTATGGTTCCAGCAGGTCCAAAGAGTTGCCATGACACTGTAGGCAAGGAGCTGAGGAAAGGATGCTGCACATAAACAACAGGTATGGGAAGGTTTGGCAGCACGATGGCATCTGCTGAAAGAGGAACTAGTCCAAAAGGTGGGAGATAACAAAGCCCAGGGGCCTGGGTTGCAGCAGCGGGGGTCTTGCAGGCCAGTATCACAGCATTAGTGACCTTAAGGACTTCTGCCAACACAAACACAGTCAGGCAGCAAGCTCCTGACTGGGTTATATGGTTACAACAAGACATATGGGGGTCGAGACTTGGAGGCTTGTAACTTATCTAATATCATGTTAAATAAAAATTCACTGGTTAGTTGCTACTTCCATCCCTTTCCTTCTTTCCAAACAAAAGCACTCTCATCCCTCAGCATTACCCCACAATACCTGAAAACCCTTTGGCCACCAAGGAGTCACAGTATATAGTCAATAACCTATCTAAACGATGATGAAACTGCTTAAGCCTATCTAACTGTGGGCTGTAATGTTTCTGTGCAGCTCCCAGCGACTTGCTACTGCCCTTCCCTGCACCAGCACAGCTGGGTCCAAGTTGCAGTGACCCAGTCAAGGCAGTTTTGTCAGCTACAACCAGTCCCTTTTGTCAGGTGAAATTACAAGACCACAGAGGTGAAGAAATATAAAGCTAAGATGAAAGAGCAGAGGCAGTAGGATAGAAGCTGGCCAAGCAATGAAAGTCCAAAATTAGAGCAATGTAAGCCTCCCTCAAATTGCCTCCTGACACCTGAGCAAGCACCACCACTCAGGTTGGGCAAGATACAAAACTAAACCTGTCCTGAAAGAATGCCTTCCACAGCTACTGGGCACTTGGGACATGACAGTAAGAACTCAAACAATCACTAAAGTGGCTAGACACTTTCTCCAAGGCCTTCCAGAACAGAGATGAGGACAAAACTGAAGTTACACAGGCAGACTCTCTCACACTGAGTGACGAACTCAAGCAGGAGCAGTTAGGATGCATGAGTCAAAAAACTAAGCAGGGACCAGAACAAAAATTGAAGGAAGGACCTCAAACAAGCAGTCCTCAGCTCTTTCCAGAGAGGAAAGAGAAAAGTTTCATAGCACCACAGTGGTTCAGGGCAGTAAGGAATCCCAGCTCCTATCAACAGTGCAGGGAGAGTTTAGCTGGAATGCAGCCAGGCACCATGGTCACCATCGTCACCATCTTCCACCCCTGCCCATACAGGCATACATCTGAAAGAATATACTCAAAAGCAGGTTTGAGATAGCTCACTTAAAGCTCAAAGCCTCATGCAGAAAAGCAAGATCAAGAGGGTGATAGCACCCGCTACTGAATCACAGATGTCATCCTCCACAGTGCCTAGGGTGCCATCAAGGTGACAGAAACCTCCTCCAGCACATACATGAGTACCAGTGGGTTAGGCCACCATGCAGGAGTTGTCACCTGCTCACAAATCTCAAGCAGCTGTTCTCAGCTCTCACCAAGGTCAATCTTGCAGTTAGCTTCATGAGACTCCCCTTTCCTCCTAACAAGATCCAACACAGGGATGACTCAAATGCTCTGTCACTACATCCTGCTAGCAACTAACTGTTCCCAATCTACCAAGCATCCTGCAGCATGTGCTCAGAAGAAGACCAAGAGCCCCGGCTGCTACAGCCCTGAATATGTGGGCAATGCACGCCAAGGCCACGAGTGGAGTTTCCCAGTTGTGGACACAATTTACCATGCTATAATCTTCACAAAAAACTAAGCCTGCTTCAGGCTGTCCAAGACAGCCCAGTATGCTCTACTCTGCCCTTAGCACTGTTTAGGAATATCAGGAAAACAGGAGTGAGGATAGGGCAGGAGAGGCCTCATTACGAGCAATAACTAGCCTGATAGGAGGACACGTGCAACCAAGAGCCCAGGAACCATCTGCTACCATAATTATGTGCACTCTGTTTCCAGCATGAAAACTGAGCATGCAGAGAGAAGTAGTGGCTGTAGGACCTAGCAAGAGGGCAGAGTTATAGCAGCCTTTCCTCTCTATCCCTCCTTAGCAGGCCCCTTCAAGTGAGTCAGTGTCGCTGCACACACAAGATGATGCTCTCCAGGCACATTGCAGACCACTGCAGCCTACTAGCTGCACAGTTGGGCAGTTGTTGGGAATGCAGTAGCAAGACATCCTGCTGTTGTTTCTGCAGAGAAGCACTTCAGGACTCTTGCTTCTTGGCTTCCACCTGCTGCTAACAAATGCACGAGAGTTCCAACCTCAATTGCTGAGAAGCATGCCCCCTGCAGAGCATCACGATGAACAGGGAACAGCTGGTACTGGTCCTTTTGCACAACACTGAGGCAGGGAGCTAGGGATAATCCCAAACTGCTGTCAGCAGGCACTCGTTGCTGGTGGCTGTTTTACCCTTCCTGGCGCTAGGGAATCAGGAAGATGACCACAGCCTTGGCCGACGAGCAAGTCAGGCTCCCCACACCTTTGGTGCTACCTGAGCTGAAGCTGGCTGAACCAGGCGCTAACGGCACAATCCACACGCATCACCAGGGAGATCCCCAGCAGGAGGCAGATGCTGCTCACCACGAAGCCCAGAGACTCAAAGAGGAACCTGCAGGCACAACAGATGCAATAAGGTATCATGCTACCCACACTCCAGCAGATCGTTTTCCCTGACAGTAAGGGACTGGTAGCATCACCAGTCCTAAAACCTGGATTATGTTCATCCCTTAGCAGTGGATGCTGCTTGCAGTCCGGATGCCAAGCACACCTTTGGTTCCTTGCTGGTTTCAAGGCAGTTCAGGAAGACACTCAAGTGGGACTTGGGAACCCTCAGAGGTCAAGGACACTCCACATGCCTACTATCCTAAAGGTCTGCATCTCATTTGTAGTCTGGTAGTCAAAGAGTCTTTGACTCTCTGCCCTGAATATTCTTAGGTTGCAGATGGGCTCTGGGTGTCCTTGAAAAATCAAGATAAGGAGGAACTACTACTCTCTAGTCTGAGTCCAACTTCTGAACCTGAAGTAGGAATTAATCAAGGACAATCCTCCAGCCTCTACTAGTGAAAAGTCATATGAGATCAATCACATGGTCACTTCCAGCATTACTGGCTATGAACTGTAGCCATGACTTCAGCAATATGAGCTGTCACCCAGCATCAGAGTAACTCCTGTGACTTACTTTGGGGCAAAGACCTTCCAGACCATGAGGTGCCTCCTGAGGATCACAGCCGCACACACACAGGCCAGAAGCTGTTGGTGAGACCAGGAAAACAAAGTTACAAGTGACACTCTTCTGGGCAACAGGTTCAAACCTGAAAGTGATACTAAACTGCAGACCTGAGAGGCCAGTACATCAGAAATAAGCATCCCAAAGAGGATTCTCTCCCATAATCAAATCAGGAAAGATAAACAACTTGTGGTGCACACAGGCCCTTCAAGGAAAGGGCTGGCACATAGGAGGGCTCCCACTATAGCTAAGTTGACCTAATCTTTCAGTGAGAAGGGCATTCACGCATGGCCTCCTCCTCATCTCACATTGTCTCTGGTCTGATGATAAAGGAAAATGACTTGAAAGGCTAAACTCCAGAAAGTTGCCCAGTTCTTTCACAGGATTAATTTTCTGATAGCTCTCTACAACACCTTGATACCAGCACAGACAAAAGATGATGCGTGACCAGGAAGATGTGTGGGATTACAAACCTGCAGTTTCCAAACAGATGCTCCTGGGAAGATGGAAATGAAAAGCAACCTAATTTGTACTACTGCTTCCATGCTGTTGCCCTTCTCAAAGCAATTGGTAACAGGATCTTTGCATCTGTTTTTCTTACCTGTACCTCAACATTTCAACCCTGGGCCTGTCTCTGACCCATCTGAGTCCCATCTCATGTCAAAGTGCCCCATGGTTCTCACAGCACAGTTTTATTCTCAGATATCCATCCCAATCTCAGACCATACCTGTGCCCCAAGGACAAAGAGATACTTCAGCCCCAGCTGCAGCAGAGCAGTGGAGAACTTCTCTGGGGACTCCCGCAGCCTCATCTCCATCATGTGTTTGTCCACCGTCTGCAGCTCCTCCTGAGACTCCCTCTTGGACTTCTTCTTCTGTGAGCTGGGCATCTCACACACAAAGGGCCAAAGCAGGAGCAGAGGGCAGCCAACTACCTCGAGGACAAAGGCACATGAAGTTACCAGGAGCCCAGGAGATGAGGAACAGTCTAGGCTCTGCCGTCATGCCCTGGATGGGCAGGAAGCTTATACTCCAGCTCCAGCTTGCTGGTCAGGCACAACTGCATGGAGGCTGCAAGACACGGGCAGCTCTGCAGCCCCAGAAGGGGACAGTGAGGATGCTGCTGTTCAGTTGGTGCTGGAGCCTTCATCACCTCGTGCTCAGCCTGCAGGCCTCCAGACAAGGCAAAGCCATGTCTGCTCAGGCTCAATGGCCCAGGAAGAAATTGATTTACCTGCAAAGAGGATATGGGAGGCAAACGTGTTGGCGCCCACCAGGACAGCAGGAAGGAGGTTTGTACTGTGGTCGAGGTGAAAGCCCACAAAGGCTGCGTTCCAGTGGATAGCCGGGAAGACAGGCTGATGGCCCGTGGAATAGAAGAACTGGGAAGCAGCAAGGAGCCATGAGATGACTGCAAACCAGGGCACTGAAAAAGGCTCTGAGAGAGAGAAAGAGAAAGATATCAGTATCAAGGAACAAGATCGTCTAAAGAAACCCACAGGGTTTTCTTTCATGTTCCCCTCCCACCCACTCTTCTCAGACAGAAACTACTCAGGATGCCGGCATGTGGTCAGGTGCTCCCTCTGCTGCCCACCCTGCTCCTGGACTCTGTCAGCAACAGAGGGCTTAGCAGCTGCACCCACTTCTGGAAAGAAGCATTAGGGTAGAATTCCCTTGTTCTCCTACACTGCCTCCACACTGCATGCATCCCTCTTCTATTAGAGAATTTAAGCAGCTCTAAATAAGCTAGGAGGATCCTACAAGGATGATGTAATTCCCCATGAACAAAGACTGGGCTCTGCCTCTCTCACCAGCAATAGGACGAGGCTGCAATCTCATGAGCGTAACACTCAGGTTGCACATCCAAAAGATGTTCCACTGAACCCTGACTCACCAGTGTCTCCTGCAAGGCTTCTGGCACGTGTGTGGATGTGCAGAAGCACAAAGGCCTCCAGGAAGAGGAGTAGGAAGGCAAGACTGAGCCGTTCAGCGTGCAGGAGCATCAAGAGGAAGCCCAGGAGGGTAAGTGCTACGACCAGGGCAGCTGAGTACACACTGCCTAGCCCATAGGCTGCGACTGTGGCCCTGCAGCTGCGCCGTTCCAGGCGACTCTTCTCAGACTCCTGCATCCTCTTGTAGATCTGAGGGATGACCTGGAGCAAGTCAACTTTGGAGCTGGGAATCCCCTGGTAGGGAGTGACAATGGATCCTGCAGATTCCCGTGAGTCCTTTGCAAACACTGTCATGGGATGGCACAGCAAGAGTAGCAACCCAATAGACGCTAATCCATAGACAGCCCACGGAAAGGCAATGACTGCCACTTGTACCAGCTCCTGCAGCTTGCCCAGAGAGTCCTCAGCACTCGAGGCAACAGCCCAGTAGCAGGCGATGCAAAGGACCACCAGTGGGAAACCCCAGCGTACAAAGAGCACAACGGGGTCTGAGCTGTTCAGATTGCCGTAGTGTCGCAACCAGCTCCGCACTGCATACACCAGCCCAGCCAGCAAGGCCACACATAAGAGGTAGAAGAGGTTCTTGGCCCGTGTGTTTCTCAAGCTGGCAAGGGGTGGAAGGAAAACAGAGGGCCGACAGTGAGGGATTTCTTCACGACACTGGTGGAAGAAACCAGAGAGTCGCAGGCAAACCAGAAGCACAGTCACAAGGCACAGCAGGTGCCAGCTTTCTTTACGGTAAGAGGAAAAGCCAATAGGCTGTTTGTGGCCTTCTGGCACAGTCAGACGACCATCCCAGTGGAGCTTTCCTATCAGCAACATTACCAGTGAAGCCAACAGGAATGGGGCAACTTGGGCCTCAGCTACTACAAAGCTATCAGAGAACATAGCTCCACAGCGGAAAAGGAGAATGCCCATGGGGAAGGCCAGCCCCAGCCACACTCGCAGCCTTTGCCTCAGACCAATGCTGGCCAAGGGTGGTTGGCTGCCCAACAAACGGGCTCGCTTGGGATGCCAGCCCCACCATTGCCAGAAAAAGCCCAGTAGAGATGCTGCAGCTGCCGAAGACAACAGCAGGAGAAGATCCAGCTCCTCCTGGGTGAACACATAGGCTAGCCCACGCAGAACAGCTGTCACCAGCCCCCAGAGCAGGGGATACAAGAGGCAACTGCGATAGAAAGAGTCTGACACTGTGGCCAGCTCTGAGGCCACATAGCAGAGCAAGCAGGAAGCAGCAATGAGGGTGCAGCCTCCCACCATACGCAGAGGATGAAAGCGGGCCCAGGACTGGGTGCACACAGCTCGTGCCTGCCGCAGATAGAGCTGGAAGCGGCTGATGAGGCTTCTGAGCTTGGACTCCAATTCCGGAGACATCAGCATTGCCCTCTGCATCTGGGCCAAGAGCTGAATGTGCTCCTCTACAGCGCTGGAGAAGAGCTCCTGCAGGTGTTGGAGCTGCTCTGCTGGCAGGTCCTGAGCCACCAGTGAGTAGGAGTGCAGGAAGCGGTCCACCTGCAACAGAAGAGAGGAGACAGCATCAGAAAGGAGTGCTGGGAAAGAGATTTGCTACCATCTTCCTCACATAACCCCTTCAGAGCGCAAGCAGCCTCAAACTGCCAGCCCTCCTGAGGACAGCCACGTCTGAAGATGCATCATATGGACCGGTCACTCAGATGCAGGAAAACTATATCCCTCTGACAAACCAACATTCCTCTGAAGTAACATTTCTGTCCTGACAACTGCGCTGACACCTTTAGGCACCCAGTTCTTCACCTCTTAACACTACACATCATTAGAAGTTCATATGTAGAGTCTTCAGTAACCACAAGGTAAATGTCCCCCAAAAGTTCAAGTCATCACCAGCTATTACTCTGAACCCAGTGCCAGCTTTCATCTTGTGTTGTTTTTTTTCCCCTGACAACAGACATCAAATTAAACAGCTTGCAGTGGATCATATCAAACTGTTCACTCTTTTTGACAGGTACATTAAGCCACTGTACTAAGGAGAGCTCTTTCTGTCTTTTACTTCAAGACCACAGGAACAGAGCTAGCTATGACCCCAAAGTTGCAATAAAAGTCTTAGAAGGGCATTAACAAGTCAGGGCACCTGTGAGAACATTCAGCTGCTCAACAGTACAAATCAGCTCAATTCCAAAAATATACTGATACATTCATATGGCTTCCAGTCACCATACAGCACAGGAAGAACCAGTCTGCTCCTATCCTTGAATGGTAAAGACATGCACTAGCTCTCTCCCAGGCTTGCATGACCTCCTTGGAATGCCAATGCTTCTTTAAAAACAGTGTGATCAAGCCAGAAACACTCAGACGACTAGCTGCAAAGATTTAAGAGACAGCTCTAGATATGGCTAATTCCTCATACGTGATGAATATTCTCAAGGGCTAAAGGACAGTACAGTGTATTATCATCTCTAAATGACAAAGAACACTGCTCCTATATAAATAGGCAGCAGACACTGAACACTTCTGCCTTCCCATTAGCAATAACACCCTCTCCAGCTCTTCACCAGTATGCAGCAATGGTGTCCAAGCCACATAGCACTGGCTGTTTCCCGGCATCTGGGCCAAAACAGGACCTGCTTTGGTTTGCCTTCTTCCTTGAGAACTACAGGACTACACCAAAGCACTGACTGTGGGCTTGAGGAGTTAATGTCAGGCTAGCAATGTGCTTCTAGCAATGCAGGATCCCTCAGAGGCAGCCAAGCTCTTAGCTGAGACACACGCCTTGTAATACGTGTGACAAAATGTGTTCTGCAAAGCGTCAGGTGCCTCACTCACAATCCTCACATCTTCTATAGGAGCTCATGTCCTAGCACATGGCCTGTCCCACTCCTTGGGTTTTTTTTATTAGCTGTAATGGCATATGCCATAAAATATATGCCATAAAACATATGCTCATTCAAGTTTTGTCATTCAGTTGTTGAGGTTCTGCATTTTCTTGTACTTGGTGTAAACTGTTCCTTCTCTGTTCCAATTTATTCTCAATTATTACAAGGTGTTTCTTTTATTCATTCGGTACTTCATTCACTACCATTTTCCTCCTGACACTGATCTAGGACAGTGTCATAGCCAGCACTGTTTCTTCTCCAAAACTGAAGAAACATTAAAACATCTGCATGTACTCCTCAATTTCTATTAAGGAAACGTGCCCCTAATCATCTTCAGCCTTAAGGAAACAACCTTCCCATCACTTCTCCAAGTAACCAAACCCACCTCTAACCACCTGGAACATTATCCTGAAGCAAGTAACACCTTCCAGGCCAGTATTTTTCTACAGTGCAGCACTCATTACCAGGTACTAAACAGGTGTTTCCCATTAATATTTGCAATACACTGCAAGCAAGTAACTGACAAAATTCTCTATGAAGATAAAACCATATTACTGTCTCACCTATATCAAGCAGAAGAGATATGTGCCTAAGAAAACTTTCTTCCTCTCCTCTAGTTTAGCAGTGAGGCCTGCCATAGACGCAGTACAGTGCTATCAACCCAGCATCTGAACAACTGCCAAAGCATCCATCTGAAAACAGCTCCCAAGAAGCTGAATGAATGAACTCCCAACACGTTCAAGAGCTAGGACCACACAGCTAACCCCTGGCACTACCACAGGACTGCCAGCAAGTCTTTCCCCACCATACCTGCTTGGCATTGATGTGATAAACCAAGAGCTGCTGCAAAGCTTCAGACACAGTGTCACCATCCCCAGAGAACAGCTCAGCCATCACTTCCCCAATGTTACTGTAAGGAATGGGCACACCCAGCAGCAGGGCCACAGTGGGCACCAAGTTCACCTGGGGAATGGCCTCAGGTTCCTGGAGAAACAGGAGAGGAATCAGACATTTATGAAGGACACAGCAACACAGACTTTCACTTGGGAGAGGGGATGATGGCAAGGCACCCCTGTTGAGAGGAGATACTGGGAAAGACAAGGGTTAAAACACAGGGGGAAGCTCAATCCTGCCAAAGGCAGATGATAGAAGATGCCTGCAGGTCCCTGGGTCTGGCTCTCACTAACAGCTCATCTGACCCTACACAAAGACTCCTCACAGTTGGAGGGACCTGAATACTGGCCCCCCATACAGGTCACAGCTCTACCTCCAAAACTGAAGGTACAGGTCATTTCTGTAGACCCTTTCAGAAGGCCTGTGGGAAGCTGCCTGCCCTGTCACATATGTCGGCTGCAAACTAAGTGGTAAAGATGTACTGCAGAAGTGAAACAGTTCAGCAGAATCTGCTTTCACTCCTCCTGCAATCACACTTTTCTCAAACAAACTTGTCTTACTAAATGCACCAAATTGTGTTTGATGCAACCTGAAATTAATTAAATCCAGGTATGTTTAACTTCAGTTATTTGCATTATTTGTCAGGTTTTCCACACTTCTCTCAGGAGTAGTGATAGACTCCCTGGCCCTCTCAATCTAAACAATCCCAACTGAGCTGTTATTTTCTGCACCCCATGATTTGCCCCAGATGCCACCTCAGGCAGTAGCAACTGCCTTCTTACCTTAGGAGGGTCAGTGCCAAACAGAGGTGTTTTACTATACACAAACAGTGCTGCATTCACTTCCCTCTGGCTGTCACCACCATGGTCTCCAGTCTCTGTCATGCCATGATCTCCAGCCACCAGAAGGAGAGTGTCATTCCCCAAGTGATCCACCAAGGACCTGTTACCACATATAAGGAAAGTCATCAACCCCAGGAGCACAGGTGGGAGAGGATATATCCATCCCTTCCAAGCTTGATCGTGTGAGAGAGGTGAAGCTCACCAAAGGACCTAAGCAAAACTAGGTGCTGACACAGAGCTGTACCAACTAAACTGGGGACTGCAACAAAGGACGCTTCAAAAATGAACTAAAAAGTCAGAGTGTTGAAATAGGGTGGATTGATGTTTAAATCTCCTGTAAGTGTTCCTCAAGACCTTTGGGTATCTCTAAAAATAATGCAACTCAAAAGGAATGTTCCCAATTTCAGGCTAACCCCATGAGAGTCTTATCTATTGCATCACATTGTGTGAGCAAACTCCTACTTCTAAGGAAAAAAGATGTGGGATTTGTCCCTAAAGGATGCAATAAGTACAACACAATGTATATGCACTCTCATATGCAGAAATGCAAGTTAATTCCTCCTTGTAGCAGCAAAAATGAAATCAATCCTAAGAGTCAACAGCACAGCATTTTACTTTCAGGTGCGGCTCTGTGAGCAGAATTTCTGGATTCCGTTCTGCCCTCTGACACAAACACACAACTCGCGTGTAGTAAATTCACACAGACTGTGCAGTAAATTCAGCATTCCCCATCCAAGGTTCTCCAAATGTTTCTCAAGCATTAGCTAGGTCTCAGTGTGACAATCTCTATTTTTAAGATGCAGAAAGTAAGGCTCCATCACCTGATGGTTTGGTTGAGAACTAAGGGTCCAAGATCTGAAGATGGCTTCAGCTCAGAAATCAAACCCTGTTCTTTGCCACTCCCTCATGACTGTCCAATGGCTGGGGTCTCGGCTGCTACTGGTCATAAGCATTCTCCCTAGTAACAGGATTTCTGTATCCATAAATCCCCTGGTAAGACCCCCTAGATTGGCTGAAAGCAGGAACCAGTTGGCCATCCCCTATCACTGCAAACATCACCTCAGCATCTCATTCATCTGGGTAAGCTTCTTGGCCATTTCAGGATGGTCAGGTCCATGTTTGTGCCCACAGTGATCCACACCAAGGAAGTGAGCAATCAGCAAGTCCCACTCACCACTGTTCACTGCAAAACAAGAAAACTCCTATCACACAGTAGCCTAGGATTCAGAACATGCTCTTCTTCCAGATCCCTCTGTCAGAGTTGTCTGGCTGCTTCTGGAAACTGCTGCTTCTTCCCCTCTTGCCAAACCAAGGGGATGCTCATGAAAAGGAAAATCCAGAAATCCAGTTCTTCCCTGAAGATATTTCAGGTTAGGCTCATCCATGTACCTCTCTCCATCCCATCTGGAATGGGCTAGGAACATATCCCTCCCCTCTGCTCCAGGGTCTCAGTACATGAAAATCAATACATCTGCAGTTAAATGACAAACTAAATGACAAAAGGCAATACCCATCATTAGGAGAACTTCCTCACCTTCACCTTAAAAGACCACTGCAACTATGACTTATCTACATTTATATACAGACAAAGCAAAGAACATTTCCCCTAACCTAAGTCTCAGAAGGGAGTCTGAAATCACATAAAATTCACAAATTAATCTCACATTTCAACTTCTCCTTGAGACTGGGAGCAGCATGTGCTCTCACCTTCCACTGGGTAGCAGGACTATTGGATTTGTCCTAAAGCACTGCCAGGCAGCCAGGCAGCAAAACAAAGAAAGAGGAAACAGCTGCTCCTCTCGGCTGTGTATTTCTAGGACAGACGTAGAAGTCAAAACTGCAGCCCAGTCCTATCAATCAGCCCTACCTCCCAAATAGAGAAAAAGTATTTAGAGAAACAGTTTATCAGTCCTCAAAGCTGGCTTATCTGTGGAAATCCAGCTACAGCACGCTCTAATCCCTGGGCAGCAGACATGAGTTGGTACAACTGCCCAGTGCTGTCATGTAAAAATTCTTCCGTTCTACTCCAATCTTGCAGCAGGAACCCTCTATAACATAAGAGTTGGATCAGCCTTCAGGGAAGAACTACTTACCAGTCGGATAAAGATACTGCAAGATCCCATTGTCCACAGTGTGAAGATCCTTCACATTGAAAGAAGGGAAAAAATAAGAGCGGAAAAACTTCTTTGGGAAGAGTCCTTCCCAAGTATCATCACCCATGAAGACCACTCTTCTTCCTGAGGCAGAAAGAAATGAATTAGTGAGAACAGAAAGCCTACCTGAGTCACGCCATTACACACACTAATGCCAAGTCTGGGAAGATCCAGGTCAGGCACTGGAGCCCTGGCTCCTCTGAAACCCATAAAAGAGACTGAGACTTTAAATCACCATCTGGTTGCAAGTGAGTTTGAATAAAGAGAGAGGTCTGCCCCTCCCTAAGGCTCTAAGTGCCCCCAGCTCCCAGTACACCAGCACAACCTCACTACTCATCATTAACCTCTGCCATATCACCTTGTTAGAAAAATGCATAGACTAAACAGGCCAGAAAGTAGACAATTGTTCGATTGTATTACTGTAGTACTGAGCAGGCAGAGCACTACCAAGGGCTGCACAACCCACCTGTAAAACACAAGACAATAGTTGGCTACTGACAGCAGATGATCAAAAGCTGAGCCCTACACTCAAACTTGAAACATAACTGTGGGGCTTTTATATGTAGAAAAGGCAAGAGCATGGATGCTTACCATTGCTCACACTTTGCCTGTCCTTGCCGTGTCTGCAACCAGCCACACCCTGTGTTTTCTGAGCCTCTCCAGCCTAGCAGCAGAAACCACCTCCCCCACAGCTAATGCTGTGGCACAAGGTCTACCAGTGCTTTTCCACTCTGATGGCTGACTGCATCTGCCTGCCTTGCTCACACAGGGAAGCTGACAATCCAGAAACATTGCCTCATCCCAGGCAAAAGCACAACTGGCATTTGTGGCACTCCGAGCCCTTGAAGAAAATCTTTCTGGGTAACACAAGACAGCATCATACCATCCTCTCTCTGCTCCATCATCCCATCCTAACAAGAAACTCTTTACTGCCTCACTAAGCACATCCAGGCAACAACAAACTATACAGAAAATGTGGTAACAGATGCAGGCAAGTGCACTGCCTGTGTGAGGTTCCCATACCATACATGGCTCTAGCTCCACCCTCATCAGGTGTCTCACCTGACTGCCAACAGACTTGCAGTGCCCTTGGCTTGTCAGAGCCACTCCTGGAGTGACCTTGTGACAGCCATCACTAGTACAGCCACTTTCACGTGTTTCTCACCATGCTTGAATAAATTCTAACCAGGTCCTAGCTCCTTCTCACTCCCAGTACAAGATAGAGGAATCCTAACCACATAACAGCTTCAGACAAGTCTGGGGTAGTGTGAAATAATTATCTGACAGGCAGAAGGTGTGCTAAACAGTTCCCTTGACACAGAGAGAAGAATAAAGATCCCTCGTGAGCACTAACACGTGCCTTCTACATGCCCTCCCGTGGCTGGACACCACACGTACCATTCTGCACCAGCTGTGCCAGCAGGTTGTCCTCCTGGATCGCATAGGTAGCAAAGTTACTGCCCACATCAATGAAAGTGGGCAGTGACCCGGTGGTGAGGCCCTTGATGCGCTGCATGGTGGCAGTGGGGGGATCAGCTACGAAGCGGTAGAGGCGGGCATGGTGGGGCTGAGAGGTTGCCAGGTGATGCAGAAAACTCAGCTTATTCTCATAGGGCAACGGGTTGACCTTGGCTGGGTTAAACAAGGCAAATTCAAAACGGAGAGCATCGATGATAACAAGCACGACCTTGGGAAAGCGCCGGGGCACCCAACAGGAGCCTGGTGGGAGGCTCTGCTTGTCCCACGGTGGTGGTACGAGTGGGTCTGAACAGGAACTGCTGTTGGCAAGCTCAATACGGGTGAGCAGGAAGCCACTCATGAAGAGCCCAATACCAGAGAAGAAGAGAAAGCAGACCCAGGCCAGGAAAAGCAGCACTGGCCACCGCTGCATCCTACGGGGAAAGACAGATAAGCTCAGTCCCCACAGCTCTACCCAAGCCAGGTGATGCACCCCTGCCAATACCAATCCCTGGCCAGTGCACTGCATACCAGCACTTCTCCTCTCCCCAGCTCACCTCGTAGCCGCCAGCCACTACTCTGTGACTTTGTCCCACACCAGTCAGTACCACAGCTGGTACCACTCCCTTGCAGAGTAACCCCTTGTACCCTCCTGCCCTGCTGCAGCTGATCCCCTCCCGTTTCCAGCTCCCCTTGCACTTTTCAGCCACTCTACCAACACCCCCAGGCACCACACAGCACCCCAATCCCCAGCCAGGCCTCGACACCTAAGCCTCTACCTTACCCCCCAGCACTTCTCTAGCATCCTGACTGTCCTCCTACCTGCCACCACACAGCCACTTTCATAACCCCCAGGCTGCTGCCTAAACCCAAACACCTCGCACACACCCCAAACCCACACCGTGCCATCTTCACACCCCCTAAGCCTCTCCGTCACCCCAGACCAACCACCGCTCCCTCCGCCATTGCCCTGTACTCTGGCACCTCCCTCACTCCAACATTCTTCTCCGTTTCTCCCATTCCCCTCCGGACCCCCCTCTGCGTCTCGACCTCCCTCAGAGCCCCTCCATCTCTCACCACCCCCCTCCCTCACCCACCGCCGGCCCGCAGCTCCCCTCCTGTCTCCTCATCGCTCCGTCGCTACCATGCACTACCCCAGCACTCCCGCCCTGACACACTCCCGCCGCCACGACCTCCCCCGTGCCGCTCCAGCTGCTCTCAGCCCGCTCCTTCCCCCCGCCCCCGATCGCTCCCAGCCCCACCGCACCCGACTCGACTCACCTGCGGCCGCCGCGGCCCGGCCTGAGCCGCCCCGGAAGCGCCGGCGGCCCGAGAGCGGCGACGTGCGGTGCGGCGGATGTGACAGCGCCCCCTGGCGGCCGTGTGCGACTCCGCCGGGCTGAGTCCTCCGAGTGCCTTTCATGACACCTGGGCACGTCCCACCTCCTCCATTAATTAAGTATGAATCAAGGACGTGAAACTATTAGGAAGTGCCCAACGGAGGGCTGCGAAGGTCGTCAGGGGCGGCTGAAGGCCCTGGGTGTGCTGGGCACAGAGCAGAGGAGCCGAGGGGAGCTGATGGCGGAGGGCAGCGCTGAGCTCTGCTGTGTGTGAATCGACAGGGCCCGAGGGAACGGCATGGAGCTGTGCCACGGGAGGGCCGGGGGTTGGGGAAAGGCTCTGCACCAGTGGTGGGCATGGAACAGCCTGCCCAGGGCAGCAGGCACGGCACTGAGCTGCTGGAGCTCAAGGGGACACTGCAGTTACATATTGGGTTGGGGTGGTCCTGTGTGAAGCCTCACAACCCAAGATATTCCATGATTCTATGGTAACGCACCACAGGGAACGCTCCAACCACTGCCCCTGCATCACCAGTCCGCTTCTGCACCTGATGGACGAGGTCCAGCTCCTCTGCACAGACCACTCTGATCCCACAGCTGGTATCTGCCGAATTCCAGAGCTGCCCCCCCTCCCCCTCCACACTGACACCCACACCAGTTTCTAACATGCTCTTCTACCCACCCCCCAAGTAGCACCAGCAACAGCTTGAGCTACTGCCTGCAACCGCTGGCAGAAGGCTTCATGCAATTCCTGTTACAGGCAGCCCTTGGCTCCAGGCTCTTCTTGCAGATTGTCAAAGTGCCTCACAGGACAGTTTCACTTCATGTTGCACCCCTTCATGTCGGGACACAGCCCTGAGAACCAGAAGGATGTGCTGCAGCAATGGTACTATTTATTACATGATCAGATTCAGATACAAAACAAGGGCCCAGGGAAGAAGAAGAATGTCTAGCTGGGGAAGGTGGCAGAACAGGGCTCCCCACAGCCTCACAGGCCCTGGACAAGTATCCCCTTTCTGGTGGGTGCTGTCCCATCAGTGTGTCCAGTGTCTGTTCAGCCCCACTAGCTGGAGGTCACCTGCTCTGCCTTAAGCATCTCCGTGCTGGGGGGCTGAGAGTCCCCATGGGCTGGAGGTAGCTCATCCCGAGTCTTCACAGCTTGTGTCTTGGTCAACGTGGTGTAGATGCCCAATGCCTGCAGAAAATGAGAAAGTCATCAGGGAGGAGACGAGACATACGGGATGATACAGGAACAAAGATGGTCGTCTGTCCCTAGAGAGGGCCCTGTGAGACAGCAAGAAGAGTACTTGCATCAAGGCTATGTCAGAAGACAGGGTGTGCATAGGGCCGGGACAGAGCAAGCCCCACAAGCAGACAAGGGTCACAGCTTTTCTAAAAGGGCTCTGCTCAAGGTCTTGATGTTGCCATGCCAGTCACATCACCATTTTAAGACAGCTGTATGGAGAACTGCTAGCACACAGCAATGCCTTCAGGATCCGAGCCAAATCCCTCTCTACGTTCAGTTCCATGCCAGCAGAGAGATGGTCAGGAAAGAGGCAAATTTACGTACCGAGCAGACAGAGAGAAGTCAGCATTTGCCTTGTATTTTCACCAGCTTGTTCTGCCCTCTCTTCTACAGCTGCAAACTAGCACAGGCCCATTTTGCAGCTAGGGACTGCCACAACAGGGACCATCTGGTTCCCACAGGATGCTGCAAAGCAGCTGCTCCAGCCCACACCTTCTATTCCAGATCCACATGCTGGGAAAATTTCCTCATCTCCATACCTCCTCTTACTCAGCACAAACACCCATCACCAGGGCAAACTGTCACCTTCACTATTCCCCAACAAAAAGGATCTCATTGCTGACACTGACCTGTGCTACCATGTGGGTGACATCACCAGTGTTGGTTGGCAGCAGAACCGTGTTGGAATCTTTGGCAAGCTTGGAGAAGGCGCTCACATACTGCTCAGCCACAGAGAGAGAGGCTGCTGCACTGCCGTGCTGGAGAGACAGATCAGGCTCATCAGGAAAGATGCTGAGTCACGTACCACCAAGAGCTCAACCCAGCCTACATGTCCTACATGGCAGCACATTACAGCAGCAAAACTTCTCACTGCTGCTCAAGATGCCAGTAGACATCAGAGATAAAGCCAAGTGCCACCCCTGCTTATGTGTCACCTCCCTCAATACTAGCGCGAAAGCTCTGGCTTCCCCCAGGAGCCATGGCTTACCTGCTGTGCCAGAGCAGCTGCCAGGAGCTGAATGGCCTCAGCCTTGGCCTTAGCTCTGACCAACATGGCATTGGCTTCTCCTGCAAGGAAGCACAGCAGAATGCACATCAGAACTGAGACAAAGCTCTTGCAAGAACTGCAGCAAGAAAATTTCATTCATGCAAAGCCTCCTTTTTGATAACAATAGCTCAGTGTTGCTCTACAACAACCTTCCTGCTTCCCCAGGCTGTGGAAGGGCCTCAAAGGCCCTAGCAGAGATGAACGAGCAGCTGAAGAAGCCTGGCCCACAGCGATGCAGTCTGCTCTCAAGGAGTATCACCCCTCAGTACAGACCAGTGCACATCCCCCCAGGCCCTAGTGTTCAAGACACATTCCAACCCAAGGCACTACCAGCAGCTTTGTTGATTTGTTCGGCTTTCTCAGCTTCTGATGCCAAGATCTGGGCTTGCTTCTGCCCCTCAGCCACATTGATAGCAGATTCCCGTGTCCCCTCTGATTCCAGCACTGTTGCCCGCTTCCGTCGCTCTGCCTCTACCTGCAAACACAGGAGCTGAGGTTTAACCTGGCACCGCACTGCCATTCACTCACTGCTCAGCTCCCAGTGGGACAGGGGAGAGAATCACAGGAAAAGAAAGAAGTATAACTTCTTTTTGAAGATAAAAACTATTTAGTAAGACAGTGAAGGGAGAGAGAAGTAACAGTAATGATAATTATATACATACACACAATTTTACAAAACGAGAGATTCACAAAGCAATTGCTCACCTCCCACTGACTGATGCCCAGGCAACCCCCTAGCAATCTCCCCAAAGTTTTTTTAGTTTTTTCACCTATTATATGGTATCGAACATCCCTTTGACCAGTTTAGGTCAGCTATCCCAGTACTGCCTTCTCCCAGCTCTTTATTCTGACCCCAACCCCCATCTGGGAAGGGCAGTATGAGAAGCTGACCAATAAATGGCCTTGGTTCTGTACAGTGTTGCTGAGCAACTAAATCATTGGTGAGTTATCAACATTGCTTTTTTCTTCTAGAGCCAAATTACAGCACCGCATCAGGCACTGCAGAGGAAATGAACTGTGTCCTACATAAAAGCAGGACAACAGGTCAGCAGCCCACCTGCTACACATGCTCTGATGGAACCCCACCCACAGGGAGAGGAAAGCAAAGACACATTCCTAACATTCCACTTGGACAAGCGCAGCTCAGCAAAGGGTAAGAAGATGGCTACAAAACATTAAGAGATCTCCACTGTGGGCTGGTTCTGGTTCTTGGGATTTTAAAGGGATCTAGCAGAGCTTGTGTGTACCAGGCAGGGACCTCCACTGCAGGAATAAGGATCGGATTTATTCAATAGCTGTGCATTTGCAGCCAAAGTGCCAAAAGGCTTCCTTCCCTACAGGAGTGCCCGGTGCTGTAAGCTCTGGATGGAGAACAGCGGTGCTGAATGGAAGGGGAGGCTTATGTCTGATTTCACACTGTTCACCCAGAGAGCCAAACCTGCATCTGCATAGATTCCTTCACACGTGGGGGTACATGGATGTCTTTAATCTCGTAACGTAGGCACCGAATACCCCAGCAGTCTGAGGCTTGGTTGATGGCATCCACTATGTTGGCATTGAGGGACTCACGTTCCTGGAAGGTAAAACGAAACAGTAGAGGAAAAAAGAAGAGAATATGAAGATAGAGATCAGAAGAGATGCAGACACCTCCCCTGTGGGCCAACATTAGCCAGAAAAGCCCTACTCCAGGAGTCAAAGGTAGGGCTAGATGTTCCCACTATCTCTTGAGGTCACCTTCTCCCAATGAGAGCAGTGACTGAAACCAAAATTGCTGATACAAGCATCGGTGTACAAGTGGATACAAAGATCTCTCCCAGGAATTCAAACAGTTCCTCATTCTACCAAAAAAAAAAAAAAAAAAATGCAGCATGGGGGTTACAGCCCACTTGAACATGGTTAGCAGGACACTCATCATTGGGCGTGAGTAAAATGTTGATGAGTTGAGAGAAACAGAGCTACACCATCCAAGTCAGGGCACAGGTCAAAAATAACTGAAGCAAGAAACATCTCCAAGGATCCACAAACAGGCTGAGAGAAACAGAAACCAGAAGCTCTCTAAGCAAAATGCATTTCAGTGTTAAATGTATCAGCCTGGCTGCACAGAGCACGCAGGGTTTTGAGAAGCTGTCAGATTCTGGCAGCTCCAGTATCCACTTCCCCGACTCACCCGAAAGACTCTATCAAGTGAAAGCTTCCCAAGTTCAGATCTCATGGTGGTCTGGGCCAATTGAGTCACGGCATACTCTGGATCCTCCACCCCATAGCTTGCCTGGAGAACAGAAGCAAAAGACACAAAGTCTGTGGTAGTGCTGAAAGGGAACTCAAGAGAGGCACAGTGGGTAAACTTAGCACTAGGATGAAAGATCTGCTGCAGACATGCTTGCCAAGCTCCTCCTCCCAGAGAGCAGCCACAGGGAAGGGGCACTTGGCCCACCTACCTGCATAGCACAGAGAGCTTTATAAAGGATGGAACACATGTCTCAGAGTAAGGTGAGCCAGGAGAAGCCAGTAAATTGTGCATGAGTGGCTGCCATACTGAGGCTGCACAGAGCCCACTGGGCACAGCCAGGGCTGCAGGCTGCCTCATGCCTTCGGGTTGAAGCTGAGCCTCAGCATAGCAGGGATGGTACCTTGTAGGGATCCATGACACGCAGATAGAGCACTCCATCAATCTGCAGGGTGACATTATCTGCCAGGAGAGAATGACACATTCTGTTTATCAAAGCAAATGCATGGCACTTACTCTGAGAGAATTAGCAGAGCTGGGAAGGGTGGTCCCTTTCCTGCTTTAGCATGGCAGGTGTTGGCCCTTGGAGGCAGTGAAATTGCTTTTGATAAATTCTTTGCTATACCAGGCAGTGTTGTTAGGAATGTCAATTATCACAAATAGGAAGAACTTAATCCATCTGACTGGTGACTGTAGCCTTTGACTACAGAACAGCCGTTCTCAGGGAGGGGTCTTCATCCAGGAGATGTTCTCCCTGTGGAGGCCAGTCCTTAAATGAGCCCAGGAAGGGGTCTACTTCCAATGATCATTGGAAAGCAAAGGTGAACTGCTTGCACCTGTGCTTCTTGGGCCAACCCTTCACCAGGTACTCAATCATCAGTTCAGGTCCTGACATTAACAGTTTCCTCACAGCTGGATTAGCAGAAATACAGATCCTTGTGCAAAAAGAGCTCCTACATCCTCTACAAAGTGCCTTATTTTGACAAAAGAAATCTCAGGTCTTGAGATCAAGATGCTCCATGCTATAGTTATGCTAGCAGATAAAAGTTTAAGTGAGAAATAAACAGAATACTTAACACTAGAATTTTATCAAATGTGCCCACCAACCTGACCTGAAATCTTTGTGTGACACTTACAAAAACATGGGAAGATCTTCCTAGTTGAAAACAAAAAAACATATAAATTCTGAAAAACTGATCCCTTTCTGTGATGAACAGAGCAAGGCGGAAGTGGAGCAGCCCAGAAGGACTAACAGGGTTCTCCTGGTGACACTGCCATGGGTATTGGCAAGCCTGGGTCCCCAGGACAAGGCTGGGTGCAGGAGCCCGTGACATTTCTGCTCACCCCACACTGCTCCTCGCTCACCCTGCAAGGGAAGGGACAGGAGACAGAAGCCCTTCTTACCTAGGGTGACAGCTGACTGCTCTGGGACATTGATGACGATTTCTTTGAGACTCTGCACATAACGTATCCGATCCAGCAGAGGGATGAGGAAATTCAAGCCCTGCGACAAAGGTGGGATTGGACAGCTGAGCCCTGAAGCCAAGCAAGGGTTTTCCCATCCAGACATCTAAAATAGACGGACGTACAAACGAACCCCAAGCACGATGTGCTCCCATTGCTGCCAATAAGTTTACTTCACACAGGAGGGAGCTTAAGTTACCTAATGCCATTAACACCCCTCTACAGGAAATTAGTCTACAGGCAGTTAAAAGGATCGCGGTCGGTAAGAACAAGCACAGGCACTCGGACCATCCCCTCAATCCGCGCACAACACACGTGCTCGCTACCGCTCTAGGAACCTGCGGAATCCAGGAGGGGAGAAAAGCGGCTCCTTACAGGCTCGAGGATGCGGTGGAACTTGCCCATCCTCTCCACCACCCAGGCCTCCTGCTGCGGCACGAACAGCACGCCGATATTGACGGGTAGCCCGGAGTTCAGCCGCTGCGGGGCCGGGGCCAGCCACGTCGGGCGCTTCAGCACCGGTGCGCGCTGCGGGAAGGGAAAGGCACGGAATGGGGGCACCGCTCCGCGCACCGCTCCGCGCACCGCTCATCCCCCGCCGGGCCGCCGGCCTCCATCCGCCCCGCGCGGCGAAAGGACCCGGCTGCGACCCGTGGCTCCCCGCGGCTGCAGACGCCGCCCCGCTCCCCCCGGACCCCACCGCGCTGCGGGACGCCCCGAACCCCGCGGTCTCCGCACCCGCAGCAGCCCAGGCCCGGCCCGCCGCGCCGCCTGCGCCAGCATCGCGCCGCTCCCCGCCCGCCGCCCCGGAACGCTCTCCGCACCGCACCGCCCCTTCCGGGAGCGCCGCCCGTTTCCTCCTCCCCTCGCCCCATGGTTCCGCGGTGCCCGAGGTCGGAGGTCCGGGCTGCGTTTCCAAACGTTTATTAAATAGAAACCAACACAGAAGTACCGCTACTGCGCTGCGGGCGGGGCCCCAGCACGGCGTGCCGCGGGGCGAACCCCGGGCCCTGGGGTGCTGCAGGGAAGGGCCAGCGGGGTGCTGGGGCGAAGGGCAGGGGCCGCTCGTCACCTGGCCGTGATGGACGGCCAGGACCTGGGGGAGTTCTACTCGGCCCCTGAAGGGCCGCAGCCCCGCTCCGTGTCATTCCGGCCGATGGCTGGCGCCCCGATACGCGCAGTGATGTTTCAGCCACGTGGAGTTGGTGCCCACTCTTGGCTGACCCTCCAGGCTCGTCGTTCACCCCTGCCCTCATCCCCATCGCCCTGGCTGCCCCCTCCCAGGAACCATATCTCCAACACCTCCGCACCCCTATGACAATAAATACTAATAAATACAAACTTTTGAACTTTCTGCTCCCAACCCAGGGCCGGGTGCAGGTTGGGAGAAGCCCTCCCCCTCAGCTCCAGCCACACCTCCCAGCTTTCGAAAGTCCTGGGCGCAGCCCTGGGGTGCTCCCCAGCCCCTGCCCCTCCTCATAAATCCCCTTTGGTGATGCCAGCTCTGCCCCAGGGCACAGCTGTGACATCAGTGCTGCTCAGGAGGATGGGTGCGTAGGGTTGGGGACACTTCAAGGCGGCTGCGCTTGGTCTCTCCTTTACTCAATGATCCCCAAAGCACTGGGCTGGGCACTGCTCGGTGGCCCTGAGCAAGGGAGGTCAGGGCCAGGGTGAGTAGCGAGGGTTTCTTGGCATCTCCGTGAAGGATTTCAGTTCATATGGGATCCCCGAGTCGACCTCGATTGACTTGCGTGAGAAAAGCAGCCGGATGTTGTCGTGAAGGTAGATCTTCCCAGACTTGGAGCTGTGAAATCTGAGAGAAGGATGAAGGAACTTTAGGTGTGCACAGAAGGGCCAGGACAGCCTAACTGATGGTAGGGGACACAGCTCCCTCCCCTCCTAGGCCGCTGGTGGGGCCACATTCTGGTTGACTTCCGAGGGATAGAACCCACTGCTCCTGGGCAGAACAGCAGCTTCCACCTCCTTGCAGCCCATCTTTGCATACAGAGGCTGGTCCCTGCTCCTCCTCACAGCTGCAGGGTCAGGATGCCGTGTTCCTAAACCTCCAGGTCTATAGATTTGGAGAAGGAAACATAGGGGAAAGGGGTCTTGGAGCCCAGGGTGCTCATGGGCAGATCACCATCCCACCCAGTACCCCTACCTCAGGTGCATCAGGTAGCAGAGGACCCTGCGGGGTGGGCCGGTGCCTGGTGGCTCGCTGCATGACACAGTGGCCCCTTTCTCTTTCCCCACAGGCACCAGGAAGATGCGGTGGCGTAGGAAGGTCATGTGATTGGCAGGCATGTCCTGGATGTCATATGTCACCAAGAACATCTTCACCACAGTCTTGTTGGGGTTAAATAAGGTCTGTGGGTAGAGGATGGGTGGGTAGTGGTCAGACAAGGTAGATAAGGCTGGGGCATCTGGCCCCTCATCAGTCACAGGGGGTTTTGCATGAGGCTCAGCTCTCGCCCAGCCCATAAAATCCAGCAAGCATTGCTCAGAGACCCAGCCAACACAAGTAAGTCCTCTCCACCCACCTCTACTCTTGTGCTCTCATCCCATCCTCACTACACATATACAGTCACCTGCTGAGGACCCCACCAGCCTTGACCTTCCCCAAATCTCCCGTCCCTGTGTCTCACTGCCAGCACCCTGGGGGGGGTCCCATGTTTCCTCCACTGTGCTTTTCTGTGGGCGTGCAAACTCTCAACAGAAACAGAGAAATTGGATGCCCCATTTTTGGAAGCATTTAAGGCCAGGCTGGATGAAGCTTTGGGCAGCCTACTCTGGTGGGAGATGTCCCTGCCCATAGCAGTGGTTTGGAACTAGATGATCCCTTCCCACGAAAGACATTCTATAATTCTGTGATAATGCAGTATATCCACTTCGAGAAGCCAAGGGAGCCCACCCACCACTCACCACTTGTATGGTTCCAGCTTTAGGAACACTGTAACCCTTCTTTCCCAAGGCCTCCAAGTCAATCACTCCCTGGGGCAAAAGAAACAGCATGTGTGAGAAGGAGAAACGTATTGTCCAGCTGGGACCTGGCACACTGCCGAAATCCCATTTCTTCTTTGCTTTGCAGGTTAAATGATAGTATCCTCAGATGTATAGTTGTTTGAGCCATGCTTTCCAGAGAAGAGCAGCCCCAGAGAACATGCAGCGTCTGGACACAGCCCCCATTCACCTCCCCCACAGTCCCAGCCCGTCCGTGTACCAGGAAAGGCGAGGGCGCGCTGTGCTCGGAGATGTCGAAGTAGGTGACGTCCACGGGCAGGGTGACATGCTGCGGGCAGTAGGAGCCGCTGGCACCGATCTCTGCAGTGAACCCCTCGATGCGCCCCGATGGTGCAAAGCGCCCTTTCAGGATGGACTCCTGAGAAAGGAGGAAAGCATTACGGACCTGCCAGCACTGTGTAAGGTAAACAATCTGCACTGCAAGCAGGTGTCTGCGGATCCTTGTGTGTCTCCAGGATCTCTGGAGGCCTTGGCTGCACTTTCAGACAGAAGCCACACGTAGACTTAAATCACCCTTCTGACACAGGGGACATGCTGGCTGAGCTGTCCTCTTGGTGAATATCTGCTGGCCACCATAGCCAACACGCGCTGGGCCCTTGGGACAAGCCATCCTGTCCCATGCCAACTGCTGTAGAAAGCAGCTGGCTCCCATCAGGCTCAGCTTCTCCCAGGCTGGTGCCAGCCAGCCCAAGCTTTCAGGACCCACTTCCCTCCCCAGCAGGACATCACAACACCATTACCTCAAAATTGCCCAGCAGAGCATGGCTGACAGTGGTGGTGGCCCAGGATGATGCAGAGGAACGAGTCCCTCTCCGGAGGCTGCTCCGAAGATGTCGCCTTGAGAGAGAGGAGAATATCAGCATGGGACTGAAGAGCAGAGACCTGGGCCACGCATGTTCCTCAGAGCACAGATCCCTCCCCAGCGCAAATGGGGGCACGTCTCTCCCTCCTGCCCCTTTCCTCAGCAGGAGTTGCACTCATTTTCCTAACCCTGGAAGCAGTCTCCCTCCACCTCACAGCCAGGGCTCTTGTGGGTCTTGAAAGCCAACCCAACCTGGCCACCCCATTGGGATGTAGGGTGCTGGGACCACTGTACTCGAGACCCTGCAGTGAGGCCTCGCTGCCGCGACACTCACGATTTGAGGCGCAGCCCACTCTTCAGCCTCCTTCCGACCGTAGTGCAATCTGCAGAGCTCTGGAAAGGACATGAAACCAGGAACTGTATTAGGGCAGCAGCTGGGGAATGTGCACCCCAGGAGATGCTACCACCCATTGCCCTGTCCCACAGTGGTCCCAGCAGATGAGACAAGTCCCTCTGAGGCAAAAGGCTAAGCAGCACAAGACATCTGGGGCTAAAGGGCTGCCAAAATCCAGAGCTGGCTACAAGGGCAGGTACTCACCCTCCCAAACTGGGCCTGTTGAGGAAAGCAATGGTATTGCCTGAGCCAAGGGTGCAGCACACAGCCTCCCACCCTGAAAACCAGGTCCTAAGGAATGGTAACACATACGATAAAGCTCCCTGGCCAGTCTGGGAGAAGTCCCATTCCCTTCCAATCTGAGCAAAGTCTGGGCACAGGATCATGCTGCCCACAGCCAGGCTCCTACAGCTGCAGGGCGGGGGTCTAAAGCCACACTGCTGTCTCCTTTTAAAGGCATCCCCTTTTCAGGAGTTTTCCTTTCTGGAAGCCACACAAAGGGAGGCACAACACAAAGGGATGATGGAACTGGCTGGCATGACTGAGAAGGCATGACAGGGAAGCTACTGGAGAGCCTCACTCTGCAAAGGCAGTGCTGGGGCGGCCAAGCTGGGGACAGTCACCAAAAAGGGCACATGGGCAAGGATAGAACTGTGTCCCATGCACGGTGCATCCCAGTTCTGAGAAGCAACCAGCCAAGGATGCCTCTGCTTCTGCAGAGACAAGTGACAGCCTACACACTGCCTGTCCCAGGGCCAGCCACCAGCCACTGCCCTTCCCATGCCTCTGTTGTGCCACTGGGACAATACGTAATGCCATGCCACTGTGGGCTACGTGCCCAAAAAAAACAGCCCAGGACATTCCCTGCCTCCTCCTGCCCCTGCAGTGACACTCACCTTGGCTGTGGGAAGCAGGTGATTCCAGAAAGGAGCTCCCTTGGCATCCGTGCTGCGGCAGGCTGTGGGCACTGGGTGGCATGGCAGGGCTCTCTTCTTCTTCACCAGCTGGGATAGGCTCTCATCCTCGGAGCACGAGTCAGCCACAATCTCACCAGCCGGCAGCAACTTCCTTTTGGCTGGGCAGCTGCTGCTGCTGCTGTTCCCACAGGGTGTCTTTTCCTGGGAGCTCAGGTTGCTAGGCTCAGGGCTGAGTAACATCTGTGGGGCTAGAGGCTCCTTGCACCCATTAGCCACCACCGGCCATTCCTCTGCTTCGCCAGCCCTGCAGCTGTGAGCGGGGCTGCTGCCTGGCTTCTCTCCCCTCCCACCACAGTCCAGCTGGGGCTTTTGTGCAATATTGTGCAAATCAAGGTCAGGTAGGTTGTGGTCACTCATTCTCTCCCCATTCTCCCAGCAGTCTGCAAGCTGATTACCCGGTGGGACCGGGCAACTATCTCTTGTGTGCAAAGTACTGCAAGCAATGTGCTGTGGCCAGAAGGAGGAGGTATCTTGCGGCTTGTCCTCTCTATTGGCCTTAGGACTGGGACTGCTCACACACCGGTGCTCCACCACCTGCAGCCCACTGTGGGAGAAGTGCTGGGCAGAGCCACACAGAGAGAGCTCGTCCACCAGCAGACCATCCTCAAAGGTATCATCGTCCTCCAGGGCAGCCTGCCCCAAGCCCCCATCACGCTTGCTGTCCACCCCACCACCCCAATGAGTTCGTTTGGGATCCCGCACCCCCTCTGGAGTTCGCTGCTCAGGGTAGCCCCTCTTGAGAGTCGGATGACTGCCTGCTCGTTGCTCCGTGCTTTCGGAGGAGCTGGAGAGATGGGAGAAGATGGAGACCTGGTAAACCTTCTGGCGCTTGATCTCTGTCTCGTTGTAGCCCATGAGGATGCCGTGGTGGGCACAGTGTTGTGAGGAAGGCTCCAAGGCTGCCTCTCCACTGGGGCGGGACAGGCTGGAGTCAGTGCTGCGCTCCGGGGGCAGGGACGTCTCTGTGTGGATGTGCCGCATGGAGCCTTACTTGGCTGGACTCCACGTGGAGTTGGAGTCAGGACAGCCCATGCAGCAGCAGGAAGGGGACAATAAAGTGCCACAGGTGATGCTGAGAGGGCAGGATCAGGACCTCTTGCTCAGGATGTCCAGGTGAGCCCCCCAGTATGGGGCTCTAGAAAGAGAAAGGAGTGAGGTCAGGCAAGATCATGGTCCTTGTCCAGCTTTCCAGCCCTGCTGGGAGGCAGGCAGCTCTCCTCTGGGACGGAAGGAGCAATCAGCACAATGTGGCTTCTCCAGAGAACCCTGTGGCATCACTCACCTGCAGGATCAGCGCTTTCCTCCTGGCCTGGACACAGAGAGGATTCTCCAGCGGGACTGGAGGCTATTGTGGACAAGTCTGTACAAGCAAGGAGAAGAGGGTCTGCCCTCTGCTGGGGACCTGACGTTCTCATACTGCTCTGGAGTGCAGGAGTAAGGTAGGTCAGACCAGTCTCAGGGGCTCAGGACTGTGACCACCCTGTCGGGGCACCAGCAATCAAATCTGTGAGTCCTTGCCAAGAAAACCTGTGCCAGCCGCATGCGCCAAAGGACGCAGGCTGTCTCAGGCTGCCAGCTCCACAGCAGGGATGGGAACCTGCCTGTGTAATCCAGAGGAACCTAAACAATTATCACAGCTAGCTCTGATAGCTTGGACCAGAGTCCTCAACCACATGGATGAGCAACTCAATAGCACCAGGGGTTGCAGAGACCACCATGGACTCCTGCACCATCCATCCACCCCTGTACTATCCATATCACCCATCCTTGCATGTCTGGAGGAGTCAACCACCTTCAAGCTGCACAAGGCCTTGATTTTTATTTATATCCAAGCTGTCTGATTGATAAACCCTGAAATGTCTGCAAGAGACAGAGAGATGAGAAGTCTGCATAAAAATCAGTGGTGTGCCAAGGAGCTCCATTGCCTAACAGCCTACAAACAGCCCACACCTGGTAGCTCTGCCCTTTGCCTGTCTCCACAGCTGCCTCTGCTCCTCTGGAGCAAAGGCTTAGGGGCAGACATTCAAGAGAAGTAATTCTTCAAGCAGGTGAAGGCCATTTGGAGACAAGACCACAAGTGGTATTTTGACTCCTACTATGATATTGAAGGAAAGGTGCCAGGCCAAGGTGGTTGAGCCCAGGAAATTTCTTTTAAGAGAAACAATGAAAGCATGCACAAGTACATGCTGGGGGACAACCACCTGGAAAACAGCTTTACAGAGAGTGCCCTCAGATATCCTGGTGGACACCAAGTTGACTAAGAGCCAATGGTGCACCCTTGCCACAGAGAAGGCTAATGGTATACCCGGGCTGTGACTCTTTCCCTCTGCCCAGCACTGGTGAGGCTGCTCCTGAAATGATCAGGAAATGGCCACAAAGATCATTAAGAGAATAGGGCACCTCTCCTATGAAGAAAGGCTGAGAGCTGTAACTATTCAGCCTGGAGAGAAGGTTCAGAGGGGATCTCATCAATACCTATAAGAACTTGAAGGAATGGTGGGAAGAGGACAGTGCTCTTTCCGCTGGCATCCAGTGACAGGACAAGAGGCAGTGGGTACAAACCGAAGTACATCAGGCTCTGTTTGAACACTATGAAGTTTTTTGTTATTGTGAAGATGAGGTTGTAGATCTCTGCAGATCTATAAAAGCTGGGCAGTCCTGGGCAACATGCTTTGTGTGTCCCTGCTTGAACTGGGGTTGGGCCAAATGGACACAGACCTCAGCCACTCCATGATGGCCCCCACTTCAGCCTGTCTTGTGTCCCCCACACTCACCTCTCTGCAGCAGAATCCCACTCCACTCCGGATCAATCTCCCCGTCCCACAGTGGGCGGTCGTTGGCACAACTAGCCGAAGACACTTGCCAGCCAGGCACCCCCCAGAAGCGGCGTGGCTGCCGTGGAATGGCTCCCACCATCACGGTGTGCCTCCGAACCTCTGCAACGTCCTCTCCAGCTCTTTAGTCTTCACAGCAGCTCTGAGGGGAAAGAAAAAAGGACTAGCATGCAGGGCTAGCATGATAGATGCTCACCAGGAGGAGAAGGGCAGGAGAATACTGCTTGCCTGAAGGGTCACACAAGCAGAAATGCCAGTTTTGAGGTCCAGCCTCCCCCCAATGTCAAATAAATCTACAGATCATTTCAGGTAGTATTTTCACCTTATTTTCCCTTTAAATAACAAATACTTTAAACCAAGCTGTTAACTCTTATACCTTGCTTGTGCTTTAATGTCTTTTGCTTGCTTTCCTGTATGAAACCCTGTGTATATGAAGAGATCCCTACTTCAGTGAGGTTAAACAAGGCTAAGTGCAAGCAGTTGCACATGGATCAGCACAATCCCACATATGTGCATAGAATGGAAGAAGAACTCTTTGAGAGCAACCTCGCAGAGAAGGACTTGGGGATTCTGGTGGACAGAAAAGATGTACATGAAGCAGCAGTGCATGCTTGCAGCCCAGAAGGCCAACAATAGCCTAGGCTGCATTAACAGAGGGGTGGCAGCAGGGAGAGGGAGGGGACTGTCCCCTTCTGTTCTGCCCACAAGAGGCCCCATATGCAGTACAGCGTCCAGATCTGGGGCCCTCAGCACAGGAGGGAGCTGTTGGAACAGGTCCAGAGTAGAGCATGGGAATAATCAGTCTACTGCAACATCTCTGCTATGAAGAAAGGTTTGGGGAGCTGGGCTTGCCCAGCCTGCAGAAGAGAAGATTCTGCAGAGATCTCCTTGCAGTCTTTCAGTATGTAAATGGAACTTACGACCAGAAAGGAGACCAACTTTTACACAGACCGATAGTGATAGGGTAATGGGGAGTGGTTTTAATTTAAAAGAGGGGAGATTTATATTAGATGCTATAAAGCGGTGAGGCACTGTCTCAAGAGCAGCTGTGGGTGCCCCATCCCTGAAGGCACTCCAGGCTGGGTTGGATGAAGCCCCGGGCAGCCTCCCAGTGGGTAGGAGGCAACCAGCCCATGGCAGGGACTGGGGCTGAGTGGGCTTTAAGGTCCCTTCCAACGCAAGCCATTCTCTGATTCTACAGTGATTCTATGATTCATTTTCGTGATTATTTCATAGCTTGTTTTCCAAGACACTGCAGATCACCAGAAACCTCTGGGCCTTCAGCTAGTTGTTGGTCTCATGTCCATCCTCACTTTCACCCACCATGCAGGACATTTTCTGGCCATACAAAGAAAAGTACCTGCAATTGCTTTCCTCCAGTAAGAGATGCCTGGCAGGAAAGGGAGAAACAGGAGCCTGACTGCCCTGAGACTGGAGGTTGGTTCCCCACCAGTGTTCTCCAGAGCACAGACAGCAATCTCTTCACACAGCACTCACCTGCTCAGAGGCGCCCTTTATGTACGAAGATTTGCAGATAAGCACAGCTCCCTTGTGGTTGTAAACCACCCGCACTGCAGCTTTGATGCCTGGAAGAGGGCAAGGAGGACAATCAATCTGAGCAGCAGCTCACGGTCAACACTTTCACAGCAGGCAAGAAACCTTGGGCAGTTCCACCCTCAGCTCCTCTGCCACAGGACTTCTTGGAAGCTTTGCAGTTCCAGGAATCTCTGGGTGAAGGAGAAGGCACTGCCTATTGCTGGGGACTGTGTGCCTCTCTCCCCAACACAGCTTCAGCTGGAGGCTGTCTGGAGGGAAGCTGCTACTGTCCTATTGGATATCCTGACCACAAGCATTGTCCCAGAGCCTCGAAACAGCAGGGCCAAGCAAATGAACAAAATCCCAGCAGGGATGCTCAGAGGCACCAAATACACAAGTGCACCCCTTTCTAACATCCTGGACCATCAGATCCTATGTTAGTGCAAGGAGCACATTGCCTGACCTAGTCTGCCTCAGAAAACATTCTGTTCCCTCATTACATTTCTGGTAAAATTTGCAATTTGTCCCAGTTCTCAAGAGCAGGCCAGCCCAAAAGCCACCTCCAACAGAGCCAGGGGAGGGGCACCCCCAGTGAGCAGCCAGAACTGAGATGCAACATGTCAGCTCCCACGGAGCACTCACAACACGGCGAATCAGCACTGCAGCATAACAACCTCCTGGTCTAAAGCCTCAACAAAACCTCTTTGTGAAGCTCAGCCCCTCCTGGCATTCTGCAGGAGGGAAGACAGGTGGATGTCTGCAGCCATGGAAGAATACCGTGCTGCTGACACACCGTGCTCTGCTCGTCTAGAACAGGGAAAGCTCCAACATCAGGTAGCTGCTTCCCTTTTCCACCTCCAGGGCACATCTGCACCATGACTTCCATGGCATGGTCAGCCACTGGGAAGCAAAATCAGCAGAAGTCGGCAACAGTCAGCACGGGGCGGTGAGCGGAAGCCACATTCTTCCTTTACGTGTCCATGCAGGATAATGTGCAGGTGCAGCCTTTGCTCTTTCCTTCTCTGTCCCACGCCCTTCTATAGTCACAGCCCTTCCCAAATCCTTATGTAGGCAGAGCCCTTTGCTCCCCAGCAGCAGCTGCCTCACAGGAAAGTCTGATATCACAAACTCATCCCAAATGAGGTCTCTATGCCAGTCCCCAAGGGATGCTAGCAGTGGGCAGTAGTGCATGCACCTAGCACAAGGGGCTGCACCTCACCCTGCCAACCCAGGTGCCATTGTCCAAAGAATCATGTGTGGAAATATCAGGATTCCACAACCCACCTCAGAAAGTCAAAACACAGAGACTCCGAACTCCTGCAGCCACAACAGGGATGGGGAGACATCACCAGGACGTCCCATCTTTCTCCTCTCCCAGAGCCAAGCAATTCCACAGCCCCACTTCTGGAGGCCTGGATGGGACAGCACCAGGTCTGAGTCCTCACTGAACAGTATGGTGCCAACTCCTGGATGCAGCATATGAGACTCCCTATGTCCAAGCCAGAGGTCTGGCCCCTCCCACACCCAAGCAACTGTGATTTTGCTGATGTTACACCCCACACTGGTTCTATGAAATAGGACTGACTAGGCTTTGCCTGCAGGGGGAAGCTTGGCAAGAACTTCTCCTGTTCACACTGAGCTCCCAGGCTAGTTGGAGGAGATGCCCCACCTGCCCCAGCCCAGCACAGAGAGAAACAGGATGGCTGCTGCCAGTGCACAGGCAGAGCTCTGTATCAACCACATATTGAAGGAGGAGAAATTCCCCTGCAGTGCCACCAGCGTCACACTCCAGCTGTGGTTTTGCAGGGCTCTCCCAGCAGCTGGATCCAGAGCTTTCCTCTCTTCTTCTAGCCTGGCTAATCCTGGGGAAGGGCACAAGACTTTGCCAGCTGTGAGACACATGGTGCTAAGGAACCTGCAGGGAGGGGGGCACATTCCAGGCACTGGGACAGAGACCCTGTGATCCCGGGGGACACCAAGCCAGCAGACCAGGACACAGGATGACAAAGCCAGGTCTGGGGGTCAGGGACATGGCTTACCTGCTGCTTTCATTCCTATTAACACATCCAGGGGGAACACGGGATAAACAAACCGTGGCCTCAATCTGCTGGCAACAGAACAGGATGGCGGGAGAGGAAGGGTCCCCGGCTGGGCGATGCAGCAGCTGTACCGCATGCTGGGATGCAGCCTGCAAAAGGATCTGTTGCTGTTTTAACCGTTCCGCACCACACACATTGTGGGCCAGAAAGGAAGTGAGGAGAGTGGGAGTAGCTCTGCCAGAGTGGGGAGAGAAAAAATCTGCCAAGGAGCAGCCCTGGGACAGAGGAAGTTCACCAAACAGAAATCACAGGGCTTTGCAGAGGGCAGGTGGCCAGGTCTGAGCATCACTGCCTGAGACAGAGCACCATGACTGCGAGCTGGTGGGATGAGAGGGCTCCTTGCACCTTTCAGACAACAAAAAACCAGAAAAGCAACCTCAAACTGGCTTTTATCCTGCTTCCTCTTCTGGGCAGTGCTAAGGAAACCTTTGCAGCATCACTGGGAGTGAAACAGAATCTAAGCAGTACAGGAGAGGGGTTGCTGTTACAGGCAAGCACAGAATCATCCTCAGTACAGAACACAAGGCAAGAGAAAAGGCAGTGGAAAACTGCTGGAAAGCGACTGCCTGGAGGATAAACCATAGCTCTGTTGGTCCCATCTGAACCCAGAAAAAGGAAGGAAACCTAACCACGGAAAGTGTAAAGCCACAAAGCTCCCTGGCGCAGGCTGAGAGCAGGGCTTGAGAAGCAGAAAGTTTCCCTGTAGGACAGCAGTACAGCAACAACACAGGCATCAGAGAATGGCTTCTTCATGGCCTCTGTGAGATCGGGTATGCCACCATCAGGAGAGATACAGATAGGCGACACTGGGGACACTTCCAGCACCATCCCTGGGAGAGGTGGTAATGGGAGAGAAGGCAGTGAGAGCGATGTGATGGAGCAAACAGCACCTGAAGGGCTGAGTGGGGTGGAGGTGGCTATGGCACTCCCCTGGGGTTCAGAACTGGGGAGGAAGCTCACAAAATGGGAAGGAGGGAGAGGGGAGGAGTGAGGATGCAAAGGAAAGGAGTATCCTACTGCAAGGGCAAGCCCTGCTCTCAGGGCTCTGAGGGAGGCCTGCTGCCATGCCAGATTTATACAGCTGCAGAGCCTCGCTTGGTGCTGGCCCCTGTGCAGATAACAAAAAGGAAGCTCAGGGGCTGGGCAAGGACGGGGCAAGAGGCAGCACCCACATTAAGCTCCTGAAAACCACTGGGAACAAACCCTGTTCGCTCTGCCACCATCTCAGCAGATTCCAGAAGGGTCAGAGACCCCTATGTGCTTGGATACTCCCAGTCCCCACCATGGACTGGAGTCTGCCCCAGGCTGCCTTCCCAACCCCAGCTCCACACACAGGTGCTATAGAAGGCTATGAAGACACTGAGCCTTTGCACCCGGCCAAGCCAGGAGAACACAATGAAAGCTCTCCCAAGAAGCCTGGAGGCTTCACCCCCGGTGCCTGGTTTGCCTCAGACACCTTGCCTTGGCATTTCACATACCAGCAGCAACACTGACAATAGCCTGCAGTGGGAAGGGGGGCTGGCAGACTCTGCAGGCAGATCTTATATGCGACGGCCACCTGTGTACGGCTTTCCCCCACGTCCAAACCCCCCTGCCAGCCTCCCCTCCATGCACAGCAGCCCCTCTCCCCCAGGATAGCACAGTCAAAGAATGAAAAGCAGCTTAAAAATCCAACAGGAACATCGAGCTGCTCTCCAAAACCGACAGCATCCCCTGCCCACCCAGCCCAGCCAGGCTCAAACCTCTGCGACGCAGCCTACAGCGATCAACCCGGAGCCCACAGAACCTGCAGCACACAGAGCGGGGAAATCCCATGCAGCAGCCGCTGGCAGGAGGACAGCCCAGGTTGAGGACAGACCTTTGTCTCTGCCTGCCTGTCTCGATCGCTGCTGGAGGAGAAAGAGGGGGGCGGTGGGGGGGACAGCGAGCAAAGATAACACCCCTAGGAGGGATGTCACAGTCACGTTAATCACTTGGAATTCCAGCCAGCACAGAGCCGGGCGCTGCAAATATGGGCAGCAAATGGAGATGCTCAAAGCTCTGAAATAACTGGATCCTTTCGCAGGAGCCGAGCCCAGAAACCAGCGCAGGAATTCAGTCCCCGATGGAAGTCGTGCGACCGAATAGGCGGAGAGGCAGGCACGGCACATGCAACGCTCCGCCGCCGCCGGCTCCGCACCCCCCGCTCCGCTCAGGTGTCTGCCCGGCAGCAGCGACGGCACCGGAGGGCCGCGACGGAGAGCCCCGCGCGGAGCCCGGCCGGGGCCGTCCCCTCCCCAGCCAACTTACTCCACTTGTGGCAAGGTGCAGAACCGCTGCCAACGTGAGAGCGGGTTTAGCGGAGGAAAGCAGAGGCCTCGGAGCCCTGCCTGGCCAGGAGAGAAGCCCATGCAGAGGAGACCCCCGGAGCTGCCCACCGGCCCCTGCGGGGCGATGCGCGGCGCGGAGGGCTCGCGGGCCCGCGTCGCCTTCCCGGTGAGACGCGCGCACGGCACATGCAGGCTCCTGCTCAGCGCCTCAACGGCGATGAAAAGGCACGGAGGCTTCTGCCAGAAAACAAAGAGGCAGCGGCAGAGCTGGGGGTGGGGAAAACTCTCCGCTGCCCGAGAGGATCCCTGCGGAGGCAGCAGGATGCTGCCGAGCCGCACCGCAGCTACTCACCCCCGCCAGCCCGCGGTGGCACCCGCTCGCCCGGCGAAGGGAGGACGGAGGGTGGGACGGCCGCGGTCCCCTCCCCGAGGACGCGCGGGGTGGGAAGTGCCGCAGGACGCGAGCCAGGCCCAGGACAACAGCTGGCCACCAGGGGAAAATTCCTCCGGGCCGGCTTCTCCTCCCCGAACGCCGCTGCGCCCTTCCGCCTCGGGATGACCACCGCGTGCTCCCGAGGGGAACGTGCACCCATTGCCAAGCACGAGTTTCACCGTGAGCGCAGCGCCATGGTCTGGGGGACGCCGTGCTGGCTTGGCGGTGGTGGTCACCCCGGAGTGACAAAGGAAGCGCCCGCAGTGGAAGCGTGTCCCTCATCACCCTGCACGGGGACACGAGGGCAGGCTCCCAGCCTGTCCCTCTACAGTGGCAGCCCGGCGAGCAGGGACCTCTGCGGCCGTGGGACCACGCAGAAGCAGCGGCTCCATCCCTGACCTCGGTGCCAACCGGAACCCATGGGAAAATTTCCACTATTTGTCATAGTCACCCACTCACTGGATGGCTGCAAGAAGCCAAATCAGTGCTGGTGGAGGGATAGGACCACGTCTGCTCTAACCCCACACGCGGGCCACAAGCAGGGCAGCTAAATGCTGTGACATGCCCAATAGGTCATTGTCCAAGCAGGACTGGATCATTGCCATGTTAAGTGATGCAGAGACATTAGGATTAACAGCCTGAGTCTCCAATGTGCCACAGGGCAGAACAACACCCTAGGGTTACTCCTGCATCAGAAAGCCTGAAGAACCATATCCTAACCTGTTTAATGTGACCCCAAAGGAAAGGCAAATTAGTTACTGTCAGCTCCTGGCCCATCCACTCCATTACACAGGAACATGACCTGACCTCACTGCTCTGAGAGCCCTCCAACTGTCCTCAATGCCTGACCCTGCAAGGCAGCTCAGCTCTGCACCTGCTACAGCACACTGCCTATCGCTCCCATCCCAGCCCCATCCTCCACAAACACCAGTGTTTATGGCACCCCTGTGTACATCCCCCATGCCTCCAGCTCTCTGCCTGTGCTCTGTTGCCACAACCAACCCCAAAACTTCCCTTGTCACCTCCATAATGATCCTCCCTGCGCACACACCCCATAGGTCCGGACGGCACCCGTTTGGCAGAGCTACAGCAGTGTCACCTTTCCCTAGCTCTTTGCCAAGTTACTGCAGAACATCCTGCATTACCTGGAGTGAGTCTGAACACAGCCATCAAAGCTACAGATGGAAGAGGAAGCAGGCGGAGTGTCTGTGGTGAGGAGGGCAGCAAAGATTGTGCAGGCAGTGCTGACCCTGTGGGAACTGTCCCTTCTCACCGCAACCCCTCTTGCGATACACTTCCCTTTACCGTAAGTGCCTCCAAGGGAGGAGCCCGGGGCACTCAGCCCGGCGTCATGAAGCTGCAGCCTGCAGATAAGATGGCAGCAGCTGCAGGGACATTCAGCATCAATTCTTCTCCCCATGTGAGACATCCACATGGCATGGGAGGAAGAGATACCACATGGGCCCCCACCCAGCTCACCCCTTTCCAGCTGCGATTTAGGAAGCACCAAGGCTACAAAGGCCAGAGCAGTGCCTGGGCAAAAATCCAGGATGAGCTGTGGACATGTTTGGCTGTAAAGAGCTGCATGCATCCAGGAGGGCTACTGTGAGGAAGGAATATTTCAACCACAAATTCAATGTCCTGCGCCCTTCGGTGAAAGGCAAAATTTCTCCTTCTAGTGGGAATTGAAGGCAAGAGAGCTGCTGGCCTTTATGAAAAGGTGTCACAGCTATCACCTTAACATTTCTGTTGCTGCCCAACCAAACATATAAGAAAAATCATAGAATCGTGTGGCTCAGAAGGGACCCTTAGAGGTCACCTGGTCCAACTCCCCTGCAGTGAACAGGGATACTACAGCTCCATCAGGTGCTCACAGCCCCTCCATCCTGACCTTGGGTGCCTCCAGGGATGGGGCATTCACCACCTCACTGGGCATCCTGTGCCAGTGCCTTACCACCGACTGTAAAAAACTTCTTCCTTATATCCAATATAAATCTCTCCTCTTCTCATCTGAAGCCATTTCTCCTTGTCCTACCACCACAGATACTGATGGTCCATCCCTGTCTTTCTTACAGCCCCCTGTAGATACAGACAGGCCACTCTCAGGTCTCCCGGTGGAGTGGACGCAGTGCTCCAGGTGAGGTGTCACAGTGCAGAGCAGAGGGGCAGGATCCCCTCCCTCGCCCTGCTGGCCGCGCTGCTTTGGATGCCCTCCATCCCACTGCCCGTGTCACTGATGATGGCATTAAAGAGCATCAGTCCCAGAACTGAATCCTGAGGGACAGCACTTGTCACTGATCTCCATCCAGACAGTGAGCCATTGACCAACCACTCTGTGTGTAATCTT